GTACTCCGCGTACTCCGCAAGATGGTGTAGCCAAGTGCGACGAAACTTTAATCCTGGTCATGTATAGGCAGTCTTGTTGACTGACGAGGTATCGACAGCCCATCTCGGAGATTCATGGGTAGTTATAAGTAGGGCAACTATAATTACAACCCATATTCGGGGACTTATAGCCATACTTATGACTACCCATGAACCTCCAAGCTGGTGTATATCCTAAACCTGAAACCCTAAACCCGAGCCTTCCCAGCCTTGTGCGAGTGCGACAGTCGAAACCCTAAACTGGTGGGTTCTCGCAATGAGGGTTCTCGGGTTCTGCACGGAAGCCCTGTGCTGCAAGAGGTCGGCTTTTCTTTTTGAAGATACTGCTGCATGGCGGATTGTGAGATATTCGATGCTGGAGATGGACAGTCACTGGGATCTAGCATGCCGCTCCTTCTGCCCGACCTTCATAATCTAAAGCCCTAAACCATCTTGACTAGCCCTAAATCCGACAGCTTAGCACCCTAAACCCTAAACCCCTGAACCGCGCAGCAATATCCTTACGACCCGACCGGGACCCTACAGCCTCAACCGTAAACTCCAAGCAAAAGGCACCTCGGGCTGCGGAAGCGGCAATCGAACCACTCCAAAGTTGAAGCCTAGGGACTAGCCCCTCATAGCTCTGAGCACATGCAGAATTACCTGAACCTTTTACCCTGGATCTGAATTCCGGTCATCGTCCTTTAGGGGATTGACATGTTAGTGATATCTTGTTCTACATACACTTGTGGTATAGCATGCACCAAAGCCCTAGTCTACCTGTTGAGGCTTCGCCATCACACCTTCAGAACCCTGAGCTTCGGAGGATGCAGTTCTTCGTGGACGACGGCGTGTACCTGAACCGCCGCGCTAGCAACTTGATCGGGCCGGTAGCGCGGCTGCAGTGTACTTTCATTTTCAGTGCCACTGCTACAGTCAAGGTCCTTAGTCGCATCGATTTCATGTGGATCCTTGCAGACACTGGGGGGAAGGGTCCGGGAGGGTCGCATCAACTCTTCCTAAAAAATCGCACCATGGAGTCTGTGAAGTTTAAGGGTTTAGGGGCTTAGTTTAGGTGCACGAAGCCCCTGGTAGAGGGCTACATGCCGGATGCCCATGTTCTAGTAGGGTGAGGTTTTGTACTCCGAAAACATGCTCAGACAAGAGGTTATATGATTTCGGACAGGTTGTTTCAACCCAGAAATGTGGTTTCGGATAGGGTTTTCCAGACCAGGAAATATGGCTTCGGATAGTCTATTACAAGTAGTTCAGGAAAAGGCTTTCGGGCAAGGTCTTGTAGTCCGAAAATATAGTTTCGGACAGGTCTTTCCAGTCCACAAAGATGGTTCCGGATATGGTGCCCTAGACCAGTCGTTTCGTTCTTTTGAGTGGTAAGGGTGGTGTTTTACACGTGTAAGGCTTTAACAACAGAGAAAGAAGTCGTGCCTGCATGTTGCCATAAGCATTTCCCGCAGTACTTGTCTAGATATTTTTCACACTTTATGTCCTTTCCTGCTAGTAAGGCTGGGGGTGATGTGACCATGATGTGACCCCATCACATCTGCCCAATAGTACTGGTAGAATCTTCCAGCACAAAACTGATGTGACTAAGGCCCCCCACTGTAGAGATTGGTAGCCAAGTTCATGGGTTGATACAAGTAGAGCTACAAGTACTGCACATGGGGGGGCGGGTGAAGTTTCACTCCTCAAAGCTGTTGCGTTCTTGTTCTACTCACTCCGCCGTACTGTGCTGCAGACTGTACAGGAGGTGCCTCCTGTGCACGAGGCAAAAAGCCATCAAGTTCAAAGCAAGTGTGTGTGTGTGTGTGGGGAGTTTACGAACTTCAGTTTGGGCTGGCCGCTGCCCTAGTCTGGGAAAAGGAGCCCTAAGACAGAAAGGTTGGGTTTCGATGCCAATCCAAGAGGCTGACCCCAAGTAAGGGTCAAAAAACCGACCTCCGCTCTGAGACGCGAGTCCTAGGTGATGCATCATGGCATCAAAGATGCCGCAGATGTTCGCGAGCACTACTTCCGGCACCTGGGCCTGTGAAAGCACGTTTGGGCTTTTCCGACCTTTGCACATCTGGAAGCAGGTCTTGATCATCTGCGTAAGCCCTCAGAAGGACAGTCATTGATGATTCTGAAGTGGGGCACTTTCAATTTACCGAACTTACTACATGGGCCTGCCCTGCTTCCTTATGAATGGAAGACGGTAGACCCATGATTCAACAACAAGAAGTCCTTCGAGACCAAGATGATAGGAATAGGCATGTTGTTAACACTATGCCGGCGAAAAGGTTTTAACAAATGGTGTCTACGTACCCATGAAACTCCAAAAAAGGGCCCGCATAGGCCTTGCAGTTCAGGATTTGACATCAAGAGCCCTTCTTTGGCTTTCCATAGCTGGTGAGAATGCAGCAGCCCTGAGCCCTAAACCACTCGGCATGTCCGAGATTGAGCGCTGAAACCCCGAATCTCCTAATTAAGCCTTAAACCCTAAACCCTAGAGACGGAAAAAGGACGTTTAACACAACAAAAAACCCACCCTAAAAACTTTCAAACACATGAGTTCTCAACCAGGGACGTGTGGTCCTGCCTGGCCAACGGTGACGCCCTCGTGTCCCCGGACACGCTGGGATCTACGGCGGTGCAGTTTGCTGCAGCTCGGCCATGGTTTTGGTTAGGGTTTAGGGTTTAGGGTTCAGGGTCATAGTTGCTATTGCTACATTCACCCGGAAACCTTATTGTAATTGTGAAGGCCCCAATAGTCTTTCGTACTGTGGGTTCAAGCATGCAAATACGGCTGTAGAGGAGGCCGAATAGGTCGACGAGGTATCCATTTTGCTGCAATGACACTGCAGCATGGCAAGGAGACACCCCTTTTCACCGATATTGGGAAGGTTTCTGCTAGAAAGATAAAGATGGAGTCATAGAGGCTGGCCCTACATGCGTGGGGGGAATCTTCTCGACCACTCGTGTTCATATTCTCTTGCAGTTCTCCAGTCTTGGCTCTCATCAGGGAGCCATCGGCAATTTCGGAGTGTGTGCTTTTGAGGGTTTGGCCGCGTTCGTTGCAGGTTTTGTCCGATGTCACCTCCAGGCAAGAGGGACTTACTGAGCGCAACTATCACGATTCTGATCTGTGTGACGACCACCACCACCACCACAACCTAAGCATTGCTCTGAGTCCCCTTATGCAATCCGAAAGCCATAAATCTCCGAACCCTTAAACATGTCCCAGTTGTGAGTGCTGAAACCCTTCTGTCGTCCCTCCAGGTTAGCCAACCCGAGCTATATCCAAACCTTAAACCCGATCAAAGGACTTTGTAAGTGGCTACAACGGCTACAAGTAGACAAATGGGTATCCGAATTGGGCTTGTAACCATACGTAGAACCTACTTACTGACGTCGCCTTATCCTTTGACAAGTATGAGTACCAAGCCAGCCACCGCGAGCTGTATCCAAACCATAAGCACCGTTCAAGCTTTGGGGTTCAGAGGTTTGGGCAGTACTCCTTGTGGGTCGAGGTGGGCAGGCAAGGGGCAGCAGTCGAGGCCCTCGTGAAAAGAGTGCCCAACCCCGAAACCCTAAGCTGCTGTGTATCAGGCCAGCCACCCCGAGCTCTATCAGCCGGAGCACCAGGGCTGCACAGGGGCGTCCTGTGTGGAGGCCTGCGCTGCTCGGCTGAGGAGAATGTCGAGGGTCTCGGATGCTTGTGGTATTTTTTTTGCCGTGGCGGGTGGGGGTCCGGGGGGGGTGTTGGGTGGGGGGTGGAGGTGCTGACTGTGAAAGACACTGGTTGACCCTGGCAAGTCGCAACAAGGATCGAAACACAAAAAGGAACAGCACAAGACCATAAACTTGAAACTCGAACCAATGGGCCTGGTACAAATGCGTCTGTGAACGACAAGCGGGCCTTTGCAGGCAGTAAAGAGTGTCTACCAAGCCGAGCATGGAGGCAGCATCTCAGCACCTCAGACGTGCTTCCATGTAAGCTTTTCAGCAGGCATTTGGGCTTTTCCCGGCGCGTCTCCTGAAAAATCGACACAGGGGCGACTTGTGCTTACTGATGCCCTCAACCGTAAACACCCCTGTTGTTGATCTCAAAGCATGGGTGCTAGCAACTCTTTCTGAGCCTCGACTCATTCTCCACAGAAAGGTGCAGTTAACAAATCACAAAAAGGCATCATCATCTTCCGTCAAGCTCTCTGACATTCTGAATGCGACCTTGCCGCGGCACGCGAGGAAAACTGAAGCGTGGACCGAAGTCGCACCATCGCCGCCACTAGTTACATCGCCATAATCACGGCATCAGCATCATCGTCATTGTCAACATTTGCATCGTGCACATAAACGTCATGTGCGAAAGTACTGTCATACAATGTGGCAGAGTGTGATTGACAGCTCTTCACTGTGAGACCTTTCCTTGTCCTCATATGTTCCTTGGTCCGAAAGTTTAAGTTTGCACCCTTCAAGCGCAACCCTACTAGACTGGGGGCCGGTTCTCGGTGTTTCAGCGCGACCGGGTGCGCACAGCATCTGGTAACCTCACAGAGTCGTGTAGGCGTTGAGCATCCTGGTCCTGTCAAGCCAGCACCTCCAGCTCAGGTCGCCAACTTCAGCTGCAGACCCGTCGAGGATTTCGAGGCTTCGACGGTCCTGAATGACTGCTTTCGGCATTAAAATTTGGGGCGCCCAAGCTGCCCCAAATCCCAGGCCCCTAAAACTAAACCCAAAGCCTTGTGTCGCTTAGCTGCAAGAAGTCGAAACCTTCTGCTTTCTGTTCTAAAACACTTGGACACTGATGCTTGCATTCCGCGAAGGCGCCCTTGATGCGACAATGGCAGCGCGACGCCGAGTCTGCATGGGCAGCTTCGATGCAGAAGTGGGCCTTCAACTTGACATCCAACAATTGCACCGTGCGTGCGCGCACACACACACACAGATGTCGTATTGTTGTTGAAACAAGTCATGTATGCCATGCTTTGAGCGTGCCTTTTGAGTCAAGTCTGAGGTCTTTCCGCTAGATGTTTAAGGTTGGCAGATGTTTTTCGCATGCGGCTGTGCAGTATGTTGCAATGTTGCATAGCACAAGGATATACATATACATGGTTGCTGTTGCGTGAAATTAATCGTTTTTTCGTTCAGATCCGGCAGGTTTTTCCAAGTATGTGTATACGTAAATGCACTACCTCAAAGTCTTAGTCTATGCTCTCACCCCTGACCCAAACCCTTAATCTCTGAAGCCGAACCTCTTAATAGACCCTTGTAACAACTCTGAAAGGACACCCTTACGCGATCCTTCAAAGGAAAGGTTCAAGGGAACCCGCCTTAAAGGAGGCGTTTACTGGCACTCTGCAAGGGGTCCTGAAAGGTACCCTTTATAGCATCACATAGGAAGCAAACACCCTAAGGGAGATATCACAGGTTTCCACGAACGCCACACCGTAAAGCAACCCTTAGGTGGTCTTCCGGCGGATGGTTTGCTTTGAGCCTCCGCCAGCAATTGCTCAGAATCTTTGGGTACGGGGTGTGGGGGCCCAGGGCTCATAGTATAGGGGTCTGAATAGTGGTGAATGATACCACTTTTTTATTTGTAAGCGTTACATCCGTACAATACTGTAAAACGCTCCGAAAGCGATTATGATTCATAATCAGCTCGGATCTGAGAAAGGCATTGCGTTTGGGATTTTGATTTGGCCTGAGCTTGGGGGTTGGTAATAAAGTTGGGGGCATGGCTGTAGAAGACATGCACACTTTCGGACTTTTGGTCCAGTTGTACACCCTCCTTTTACAGGCAGTCAAACGAATCTCAGGGCTTGGGCTTGCCGTTACCTACAGACCACATAATACTAGTTATCGTGCGTGGTCCGCGGCCCGCGTCCGGCTTCCCTCATAGCTCGTAATACTATATAGTTTTATATAAGTACATGCAGAGTACAATTTACCGCAAAACCCTCGTCTAATCATGAACGCCCCTATATGACAGAACCCTGACAGTAACCCTTATGGCTCCCTTAAAAACCAGCCCGTAAAGGAGCCCCAGTCTAGTTATCGGGGTCATTTATTGGTTGATGACATCTCGAAGTTCGTGTATTTGGTAGTTCACAAGCCGGAGGTCCTGGGAAGTAAGGGGTTCTAGGGTGAGGGTCTTGGTGACGATCTTGAGAGCTTCTTTGTAAACTCCTTGTTGGCAAGGGGCTGGCAGCCCTGCTGGTCGTTCTTCTCGCCTGCCTGACCTCCAGCACGGTAGCTTTCCGCCACTCGACTGGGCACGGGTCCTAGGAGTTTCAAGGTTTCTGACGTCTGTCGGTATCGCATCGCCTTGGAAAAGGTCCTTATCGTTGGCATGGCCGATACAGATTAGCCACCATTTGATCCGGTTGGGGTTGGGAAGAGAGGTGTTGCAGGTGTGAATCTGTTTGTTCCATCTCGAGCTGCAAGCTGCGACCGATGGCAGGGGGCAGTTTTGCCAGTCATTCCGGAAGAGTCTGATCTCGTAGGACACCAGTTGACACTACAGTTGTTTTTGCTGCGTCTCTGTGTCTGCATGCGAACCATCCTTGGAATAACCCTTCCGGCAACCCTGACAGGAGCCTTATAGTATCCCTTTCGAGTAGGCAATGCATGTGCATGACATCGGCTCCTGAAAACTGGCGATGTGGACGATGTGAGGTTTCGAGCTCGACTCCCCCAGAGAATGCTGATACTAGCGGGATCCACAAAATCCTAAACCCTGGACCCTTAAACCGTTTATGATTGAAGCGATGGAAATCATATTACTTAAGTAAGGGGTTATCCATTTCTTGCTGCCCCAGGTGCCACTGGTTGGAAAGCTTGAGGGCGCACGGAGATGAAGAACACAGAGAGCCCAGCTTCGCCTGCAGAAAGAATAGTGTAGTTTCCTTACCAACTAGAATAGGCTTCTGAGGGGGGAGATGAAAGTGTTTTTGCAATTTAGAAGGAGCCTTAAGGAATGGTTCTGGTGATTTCAAATTCCTCATGTATAGTTTACAGCACAAACTCGGTAGCTGGGACCCCTGACTTAATTAAGGAGCAGTGGGCTCTCTGGGAACGTCACCCTCGTGCCGGCAGAGAAAAGAGGAGCCTTCTGAAATGCCCAGGGTAGATGGAAGTAGGGTTGTGGGCTATGGCAACTCATAAGTGACTCATAAGTACAGTTTCTTTGCTTCTGAGGCTGCTTATCATACAGCACAAGTCTTCCATTAACAGCCATGTGTTGCGGTCATGCTGGATGGACATGGGTCCGAACCTGCTCAGTCGCGATGCACTTGGTTTGCAAAGATAGGGTGCTCACGGGGGTTGGCAATGAAATCTCCACAGGGCCAACAATGGGCCTACAAACTCCATCCCACTTCACTGCGAAATATGTTCGAAGACAGCCCAGAAGTGGCAGATTTCAGGTGTGGACTTGATGCGACGTCAGTGCTCGGATCACATTCTCGGTGGCTGAGTGGGCATCCTGCGAACTTTTTCAGTATACATACTGGTTCGTACACGTATGTATTGGCCACCAGGCGGCAGTTCATGCCTATGTACAGGTTGGTCACAAGGGATCGCCATGACAACTGCGGAGTTTGGTACATATCGCATGCCACCCATAAGATCCCATAAGCGAACGCCAAGCACTTGCTGCAGCACCAAGCACCTCGACCCAGTTTGCCCCATATCAGCTACTACATGTGTTCGATCGTGCTTGTCACCAAGCTATATTACATTGCCGATGCTGATTACCATTCTGACCTTTCACTTCCTCATGAGCGACATCCCAGCTTGCCTGAACGTTGATTGGTACGTGATTTGTTTTTACTAATAATACTCAGTGAACCGATCAGAACCCCGATCAAACCCTGTGAAACCGTACAGCTTTCTGTAGAAAACTAGCAAGACCCCGAAAGAACTGCTTTTGATAAAGACCTACTTATATCTACTTATAATGTCACTCCCTAGTAGCCGTTGTCATAAGCAGACCTACCCGGAGAGCCCGAACATTTGCTACCTCGGGGAGACATCTTAAATCATCATGAGCATAACCCCTATCACTTAAGTTGAACGCATTATTCCCGAATGGGGTGTTGGTTGCCTATGTATAGGAGGACCCAGGCCTGTTTATGTGTGTCGCACGGCCCTCGGTTGACGACGGGTCAGGCGGAGCAAGGTTTAGGGTGGACGGTTTCGTGCAGTGTTTATGCTCTTTGAGCCTAGGTTCAAGGACACTTCAACTTCGTAATGGTGGAGCGCCAACCCTGTAAGTAAGGCGGAACTAAAAGTGCAACAGAAACTATAGACCGTCTTTAGCCCTATTTTGTTTAAGGTGAAGAGGAACGCTGTAAAACCCGACAGCATCCGCGAACCCTATGCTCGAAATTTCCAGCACCAAAACCACAAACTCGGAAACACACATCCGAATATGAATGCAAGATCTTCCAGACTCGCCAGCACGACTCACCAAACATGCAAGCTCAGCTGACTCCTCAACCGTTCATAGCATCGTTTAAGGCAGTTTGTGAAGGTGCGACATGCAGCAGAAGAAGCGTGACACTGCGTCGGGCTAGGACTCGAGCTGCTATAACTCGTACAACACACCTTCAACTTTGGTTAATCGATAATCGCCAGCGTAGCTGTAGGCTGTTGCTGCCAACTTGGCGGCCTTCCTTCCATCGCACGCTCTGACGGATCCCACGAGTTTGATTCCGACAGTTCTCTCGCGCTGTTGACATCAAAGTCTCAACCTGTTTCCGGTTCAAGCCTCTAGGACCCTTTGGGAGAAACTGTCCAGGGCTTCTAGATCTTGGAATGGCAGTCAAGATGCAGTGATGGGCAGATGGAGACATCTGCAAGGCTGAAGCATGCCTTCGGTCCTACAGCTGCCTTCCCTGTGGTGCTCGACATGCAGCTTAAGATTAGTTGCTCATGACGGCTTGCACCACACCTCGAAGGCGAAGCGACTGCGACGCACAGTGTCTTGGTCCGAAGAAAAAAGTGCGGCCTCCCGTTTCGTTTTCGATAACCTTGCCGCCTAAGAAGTTCAAGCTTTTCGTGAATGACAACGCCTACAAGAGCAGGTTCGAAGACGTTCCATCTGGTTCGTACCGGTCCTGCTAGTCGCTGGCTGCCACACTTCGAGCAACTATGTTAATCTGGCTGGAAAGGCTTGCGGCCTGAGACACATCAAGCACAGGAGCAGGCTGAAATGGCTTGAAAGCTTGTCCGTATTTGCAGCTTCGAGTGGTGCTGATCCAGGACATGGTTTGGTTCTGCATGCCATCCCGACAGCCAGGAGGGCACGACAATCAACACTGATTTGAGATTCTTGGCCGTCCATGCCCTGACGTTGCGGTTTGCCGTTTAACTTGTGCGATCGGAGACTCGCTACGGTGAGCTAATGGGCACAATTCGAAGCTGAGGCCGTGATGAAGCCTTCATGGAGCGCCTGCAGGGCCTGGCACTTGAGGCCCTGACCTGGCCTTTTCTGGTCGACCGGCAGCGCTTGATATGGGCCTCCGCATTGGAGTTCGACGCAGTGCCAGTTGAGGATTTGTACTTACAGACCTGCCTCTTTCGCTACATCTCTTCCACTTTTGTTGCCCCACTTCCTGCATGCAGGAGCTGCCACCTTGGTTCCTGGAGCAACAAAACCTCAGCCGCAGAAGTTTAGGCCGGAAGCTCGTCGTATTGACGTATCAAAGTGCAGGCAGTCCTCACTGATCATGTTAACTACTTGACGAACTCAGCAGACATTTGCAAAAGGTGCTTGTGAAATTCATGTCGAGCGCAGTGCATAGGCTTCAGTGTCAGGTGTGCACCTGTTGAGCATGGATGGCAAACGAGCATTGCTCTGCAGCTCCGGCGTAGACGGCCATGTGCCCGACACCGAGCTCAAGCGCTTCCTCCGTACAGCTCGATGCGTCTGCAAGGTTCGCCGTTCTTGTATGTCAATCTGAAGATGGATTGTCAAAATTGTTCTTGCGGACATGTAGCCCTAGCACCGTACAGAGGCCCTGAGCATGTAAGCTTCACGGTGACACGATGTCGATGACAAAATGTGCATCAGGCCTCGCTTTTGGCTCGTGCAGTCCCATGAGGTCGAAATGTCTTGGGCTCCCGTTCCCGACTATTTAAATTTGGTTCAACACTGAGGGAGGCGGAAGACAGATCAAGACATGTGTCCCCCGACATGTGTGCCGGCATAGCCACGCACATATCTCCAGCAGGCCAACAGTAGTCCTCACTCCTTGAAATGACTAAAGCACACTGTGCAGCACACTACTCATATGTGTGCACACCCACTTGCCAGCACACACGCTCTGATGCTGTCATCTGTTGTTGCCACTGTGTAAGCATGGTTCGTCGTACAGGTGGATGAAGAGCCTGCTTTCGTCGTTCTTTAAGGCACCGGTTTACATGTGTGTTCGCATACGGCATTGCATACGGTATGTACTTTTCCCAGGTTGGTTTTGCATGTGCTCAGTTTTTCGGCATGTCGCTGAGTCTCAGTTTGTTGAACCGTGGGAGGCATCGGACTATATTCTGGTGACTTGCGGAAGCTGCCAACTGACAGAGGAATCAGAACGTTGGTTGCGCCGGTATGGAGCGGTGAAGAAGCCTTTGACCAAGCAGGCGCTGTGGAGATATGCTCGGGAACAACGCAGAGACATCAACCTCGAGCATTCTGCAGATCTGCCGCTGCGCCCCTGCCAGGAAGCCTGCTTGAATGCGTGCGCCAAGGGAGCCCGAGTTGTGGAGTTAGCCTGTGGGACAGGGAAGACTCGCATCATGCGGGAACTTGCCAATGATGCCTCAGAATGCGACAGAGTGACTGGGCTTGGAAATGGCAGTTGCCTTTTGCATTCAGCCTCTTGGTCTCCTAACCAACAGCGGAACGCCTGCTATTGTTCCGTGCTCGTTGTCTCTCACTTTCACCTTGTCGTAACATCCCCGTCCGATGCAGCGATACCCACGGCCACTGACTGCACTGCTGCAGGTTCTGCTTGGGTTGAGGGCTCGCGGAATAACAAGGAGCAAGCTACAACTTACGCAGCTCCTCTCTTTCCTCTGCCGACCACCCTTGAAAACCGCAGCAGGAGACGCCCCATCAAAGAGCCCTTACGGTGTGGGGTCAAGTTAGGCCCCATGGAAAAGAGAGGAGAGAGGCATGTTCTCACGTCTTCCAGTGCCACAGAAATTTAGGGGGGCCCTGGTAACCGGGGGACTTACCAGTACCTCATGCCCTGCAGCAGAAGGAGAGACAGAGAGAGAGAGAGAGAGAGAGTGAGAGAGAGAGAGAGAGTGTGTGTGTGTGTATTAGTCCTTCTTTGCCCAGGCACATGACTGGGTGCATGTTCTGTTTATGTTGCCGTGTCTGCGTACCTCGGGGCACTTGGGCCTGCATATCAGAGATTGGTTGCTACATGCCGCACAGGTGCTTGTTACCACGCCTTCTCGAGTCTTGATGGAGCAGATCTCAAAGGAGTTTCCGACATTTTGCAAAGTTGGAATGGGTTACAACAGAGGCGTGAACTTTAGTGCTCCGGGCTTTGTCTCTGTAACGGACTCGGTGCACCGCTTGCAGAAAATCAAGTTTGGGCGGGTTCTAATCGATGAGGCTCACCATCCCATTCCAAGAGGCATGCCTGAGGGCCGAGAGCTCTACAAGTTTTCTGCGACGCATGTCGAGGATGTCGACTACCGATACGCAATGAGCCGGGCGATACAAGATGGCGTTCTTTGTGACTACGACATGACGTTGCCTGTGACAACCAAAGGCCACCCGTTCTTGTCCTTGGCCCATCTCCTGGTGTCAATGGCGGGGCACTTCCGCAGGGTGCTTGCCTATTGTAACTCGGTGGCGGAAGCGAAGCGCTTCAGGAGCCTTCTTGAATCGCTAGGCCTTGCGGCTTGGCACATGAACGGTTTTACACGGCTTCGCGAGCGAGAGAAGATAATGGAAGAGTTCACAGGATGTATGCAGAAGCCAGTGCACATCCTTGTGACGGTTCAGGTTCTCGGAGAAGGTGTCAACATTCCCAATGCAGACACATGTATGTTCGTGGAGCCCAGGAATAGCTACAAAAGCATTGTTCAGGCCATGGGGAGAGTCTTGCGCCACCATCCCTCCAAGCCTTTAGCTCACATTGTCCTCCCTGCCATTGCTGCTGATCCAAGAAGCTCACAGCCGGAGGTGTTGGAAGCGGATCGTCTGCGTGTTGTAGCGAGAGAGAAAGCTAGCACCGTGCCGCATGCGGGCGAGAAAGGTGTGCTTCAAGCTGGGCATGGTAAGCTCGCCTCGGGTAACACTGATATGGCGAGCATCCGATCTGCTGCAGACACGGCTTCATCAAGGGCTGTAGCCAACCAGAGTTCTGTCCGAGGTCCAGTCAGACCCAAAGCGACACAGGCTTGGACCCACAAGGGGCGCAGAAAAGAGAACTTCCCTACTAAAGTGCACCCTGACAAAAGCTCTTCGGAAGTGCTTGTGGAAGGGACAAGTGTGAGCATAGACAACGTCACATATGAGTACCGGCCAGCAAGGCAATCACGAGAGGTGCAGGCATACACACGAAGGACAGGAAACGAAGCAATGAGCGGCCATGAAGGGTTGCGTGCCCTCGTACCTGGTGGCTTCCACGAGCAGGTCGAACGCTTCATGCTTGTCATCGCACAGGCCGACAGCCGCTTGCAACAGCAGCCGCTGCAGTCGCGCCTGAGGGTGGTTGATGCAAGGAGCGAGACTCTGACGGCAGGCATTATCACGAAAGACATATTTCACAAAGTGACCTTCGTGCTCAAGGCTTCGCGGACTGATGCGTGGGCTGATCGTTTCCAAGCTCTCGAAAAGTTTGTTCGTGAGAAAGCAAGGCTTCCCACAGAGAGGGCGAAAGATGATTACGAGCGTAATTTGGGCATTTGGCTGCGGACCTTGGGGATTTCTGTACGACAGCGCACGGCACCGACATACCGAGTGCAAAGGATGCTCGGGTCGCCCTGGCCGTTGATTAGAAATCGCGTTCAGGAATGGCTGGGTTATGATCTGGTATTCACGGAGAGGTGTGACCGGTTGAAGGAGTTTGTCCGGAAACATGGCAAGATACCGACACGGCGCGAGTTCATGGGAAATAAAGCCTCGACGGGCTACCAGCTCGTAACTTTCCTTGCCAACGTCAGGGCTGGTGCTTTTCGGATAACGGAAACTAGACTGCAGATGCTAAGGGAAGTGCATCCCTTGGTTGCCGAGAAGCTTGCCTCGTGGATTGGGAGTAAAAGAGGATTACAAGAGAGGGCATGGCATCAACGTGCCCAACGTGTGATAGATTTTGTAACGCGGCATGCCCGAATTCCCAAGCCGAAGGTCCGCCAGGAATTTGCAGACTATTGGTGGCTGACAACGCAGAAATATCGTTTCGCGCTCTTGCCGGAGGAGTGGAAGAGAAAGCTTCTGCACTACCCAGTACTTGCTTCATATCTGCTCTCCTGAGCTTTAGCACTTATGCCTGGTGCTTCTTGCGGAGAGTGTAACTTAAAATAGCCCGGTGCGACAAAGGCATACTATGCCTGCACAGGAAGTCTCTGGAAGTTCCGAGCCCTTTGCGACGTACCGCAGCACCCGCTGGAACACAAGTCACAAGCACTGCCGCGGGCACATGAGCAGGTTCTGTGACCTGGCAATCAGTGAAGTCCTGGCTGCGCTTTCGTTCTTACCGCGTCAGCGGGGCCATTCTAAAGAGTTGACAATTAATTTCCTTCCGGGACTCTTTCACCAGATATACCGTAACATCGTTTCCATGAGTGTGCGAGCTGCACTTGTTGTTGCTAAATCAACCCTCTGTAGAGGCCCTAAACCGCCTGTGATGCTGCTTGAAAAAGAAGGGCTACAGCGACGGTTCAAGATTAGTTCCACGCCTTCGGGTCTTCAATGTGTCCAAGCAGGATATGCTCTGCAGCAATGCTGAGGGCAAAGCAGGTCGGACCTGCCGTGCAAGTAATGTGGTCGCTGACTGATAACAGGCATCCTGCGAGAACTATATGGCCTGACAAAGTTAAAGAAGCTTAGGTGCTTAATCAACAGCCTCGACAATTTTCTAGCATATCCGATTCCTGTGACTATGCCAACAGCAGCATTCCGCAAGAAGAACTGACATCACATGCACGAGCAGGCGGAGGATTAATAGCTTCCACGCATTAGCCCAGCTAAGTTGCACATGCTTCGCTGCATGCCGCTTGCCTTGAACCGCTACTTAAACCCTAAACTACTGCACGTATTGAAGGTCGGGCGAAGTTTGCTGCACAGCAGCTTTGAAAAGATTTGGGACAAAGCTGCGCAAGGTGTAGGAATCGGGGGTACAGACTTGGGTTTTTGGGATTGTGCTTGTGATAGAGTATAGAGAGCTTCTCATTTTCTTGGTCGATTGCGGTTTCAGCTGCCTCAGAGCAGGGTTTTCTCCAGGGTGCTAGGTTTCCTGACTGTATAAGTTCGGGGGCTGGAGCGTGCTGAGCATTGCTTGCGGTCGATCGGCTCACAGGCAGCTGCTGGATTGCCGGAGGATGTGTGGATGAATGAGATGATTTGATTTCGCGTTTCGGGTTTAGCTCTCTTCCAACAGTCTCGCTTTCGGAAACTCTTGCATGTAGTTCCTCATTCGTCGTAGGCTCCGAGGAAGCCATGGGTTTTGAAGAGGCAACGGAAGAGCGCCCGCCCACGGTGGTAGCGGTGGACACCGCCGACTATTTGGAGGTCGATGGCCAGGAGGGGTGTGCGTAAGGCCCCTAGGGCCCTAGGGTGCTCTGGTTTATATAGAGCTAAAGTTTCGAAGTCTATGGTTTTGGGGCTTGAGGTGTTGAGTTACGGTTGAGAGCATCTGAAGGAATCTAGCAGAGCATTCCCGCGAAGAACTGCTTCCATTACCCCGACTGTTGATTTCCCTGCGGTTATTTCGATGGCTACGAAGCTGACAATGGCCATCATCAAAATGAAACAAGTAGTTATTTTCATAAGGACCCGCAAGCTTGCGGGGTTCGCTGGTAACTTTGACCAGGATTTGAACAGCTGCCCTTAGACCGCCATGGCCAAAAGCTTGTTCAAGCCAAATTGCAATTATATTCAGTTATCTATCTCTGTTGCAACCTACCTATTCCATTCTCATGTCCACCTTGACCCCCAGTATAGCCAATTCAGCTGCGAGTAGAACCAAACCTATCCTCTGAGAAGCACTATTTGGCTCTATTTAAGACGAAGTCATACCCAACCCACAATGGACCGTTGTAGGAACCTTGAGGGAACCCTAAACCCCGTAACAACCCTCAAGAGCCGAAATCAGACCCATCTCCCGACAGAAAAGGAGCCACTGGGCTGCGTGGCAGCAGACTGGTCGGAAAGGCTTCTGAGGATGCGGTACAAGTCGGAAGCTGGGCCTTCGGGTTTCTATGTTCAGGGTTTTGGGTTGAAAAATCTGGGATCGAAGAATGGCTTTTGGCGTTATGGGGTTCCAGAAAAATGGGAGTTCGGTGTTCACCATTGTTCGAAAGCTGTGTTTGGGGTTCAAGAGATTCAAGCTTTTCTTGCAAGCTGGGCCTTTGGATTGGGCTGGACAGTCAGTGTATTCATAGTTTTAGAGTGTGGAACGCCCTAGTGGCCCGTGTTTTTTTCCGTTTGTCTGCGCTGGGGTTGGTCTGGCTAATGGCCAGCGCATACAGCAAACCCTCACCAACACAGAAAAACACAAAGCAGTAAAATACGGGCCAACACAGCAATACGGGCCAACACAGCGTACGTTTCTGTATAGTTTTAAGAGTTGCTGTCGCTCGTGCTTCCGGTTAGAGGGCTTCAAGGTGAGATTTTAGTACAGAGGGTGGATGCGGAGGTGCATGGCTTCTGGCTTCCGTTCGATTCGTTGCGGATTGATTGAAGATTTTCTCCGGTCTTTGTCCCTGTGCCTTTACATGTGCTTGGGCATGGGCTTGTTCAACGACGGAAAAGAGTTCACTCTCTGGCCGGACAGCCAGGTACTATAAGCCCTAAAACCCCAAACCCTGAAGCCCTAACATGCCCTAACCGGAAACTCTAGAGCCTGAGCCCTGAACCCACAAGGCCGTGAACCCGCGTGACCGGGTCCCATACATTCGGTACCTAACGCAACGGAGGCGGATCTTAGCCGTGCCCAGCCCAAATTTCTGAAGAACACGCGGCATACTGGCCAGCATGGTAGCAATCCATACTGCAAACAGCTGTAAGGCTGGCAGTTGAACACCCCTAACAAACCGCGATGTCACAACATCGCTCTGAAACAGTTGCACTCCGCATATCTACAGGGTTTCAGGACTAAGTTGCATCAAACACCGGACCAAAGCCCTACAGCAAATCCTGCACCACTTGCCTTCACCCCAAAACCCGCAACCCTCAACTCCATACCCTGAACCTAAAACCTACATTAATTAATCCTGAGCCCTGCACCAGACCAACCTTTAAACCCTGAACCCAACAACTCCTCAGAATCCCAGTGCTTCGCTCAGGAAGTTGGCGTGCTTTGCGAGGCTCCCGCCCACTACAGCCAGAAGCCTGACAGCCCGTAGGTTTAGGTCTTAGGGATCAGGGTTTTAAAAACGGGCTTTGGATTTAGGTTGTTTCGGCTCCTGCACGGAAGTTACAATAGAGAAGAACTCACAAGGGCGTTTGTGACAGCAGTAGACGCAGTAGAACAAAAGCAGCAGCGGTGTCAGGTTTAGTGTTATGGTGAGCACCGTAGTGTTAGCCGTCGTCGTGGAGGTGGTGGTAGCTGCAGCAGTAGCGGTAGCCACTAGTAGCGCTAACGGAGACGGCAGCTGCCGCCGCCGCCCTCGTCGTCGTCATGGTGCCCCGTGGCGTGGTAGGAAAGTTTTGTGGTCAGCGGGCGCAGGTAACATAGAAGCCGTAATCATTACCAAGATTTTGCAGGCATTCTGAACGGCTGATGTCATCTTTAGACTTCAGGAGGCGCTCTACGGCGCTCAAATGGGGTCGCCAGATGAGTGTGTTCCCCACGGTGTAAGATTTTGATGTTTTCAGCTTCAGGCCTATGTGAATGGGCCTCAGTCGTGATGATAGAGGTCGAGCGGATCTGGCTCGTCTTCAAACCCAGTAGCAAAAGGAATTCCTTCAGGGTAGGATTTGGCCCGGTGCATTTTTCTTTGGCATTGTGAATGTACGGAATGGGGCGGTCCCTCTGCTTGGGTTTAAGGCTTGCGGCGCTGCGTGTGACGGAGAGCTCTATGAACCTTATGAACCTGCCTCCTTGACCTGCAAGATCTGTCCGGACGAGTGCCAGCAAACGAACCATGAAGTTACGCTGAAAACTTAAATCTAAAACCCTAAGTTTGAAGAACAAATACTGACCCCCGCAGCTCCGGTTTGCACCCAGTTCGACAGCCATGACTCTTTTTCTCAATCCTAGACTCTACAACCCTCACCCCAAATGCAACTTTTGAGTCTGAATCCGAAATTCGGAACAGCTAATGTCCCAAACTAGAAAGCCCGAAGCATCTGTGGTCTGTGACCGAGGAAGAACGAGTTCGGCCTGCATGCCTGGGGCGACCTGTCCTAGCAGTTCCCACGTTTTCGGATGCATAGAACCCTATACTAGGGTTTCGGGTTTTGTAATTAATCCCAATGTTCAAACCCTATGTTCGCCCGAAGCCCGACGAAGGAGAAGCACGAAATGCAAAAAGGAGCCGTCCAAGAGCGAGAGTCTACACGCCCTAAGCCTGAAATGATGCAGCTTCTGACAAGTTCCTGGCAGGCTGCCTCCTCTACAAAACGGGTAGCACCCTAAAATCCCAGTAGTATAGAAGGAAATTCAGCCTGCCAAAGCTGTAAGGCGACGGTTTCAGTGCCATCTCAACTACTTCAATGTCAATCAACCGCGTGAAGCCACTGCTCGTCATTCTGTCCTCCATGAGCAGTCCGCGGCTTTTTCCCACACTCATCGGCCTGTCTAGTGCGATTCGTACCTGCCATGTTGTCACGTGGAGGCTCATGGGTAGTTAAGTCTGGCTCATAAGTAGGGTAACTATAGTTATAATTAACCCATATCAGGGGACTTATAGCTCCATTTATAGCTAACCACGAACCTCCAAGCACAGATTTTACTGGCATGAACTTTATTGTACAGCGTAACAAGGTGCACAAAGCCTCAGCTGTTACTTCTTGACACATGTAGGCTGCGGCTCATCGAAGCCGACGCAATCGTTGCCCGCATCACCAGCATTCTTAGGTAAGCTCTGACCTGGGCAAAGTGCCACAGGTTCACTTGATTCGCTTTTCTGACCGACTGATCTCCGTCAATAATAATAATATTGAAGCCCGAATAACTAGTACTACCGTTCCTAGGGGTTCCTTATCACAAGCATACCATAATATCATCCAAATCCTTCTATTCTAATTCATTTCCCGACGCGGGAGCCAAAAAAACCCGAACCTCGCTTGTGAGCATAGACCTCAGCCATGCGAGAGGGAACAAATTCATTTTCAGGCCCTTACATTATAGATCCCTTGTCATCGGCCCCTGATCGAGGAACCTTTTAAAAGGAACCTAGGACCTACCACTCCCTTACACTATACCCCTTGTTATAGATCCCTTATTGAGGAACCCTAAAAGGAGCCTGCCACTGAGGACCTGAAGCACGAGGCAAAGTCGTGGTCGCCGTGCGAGGAGAGGTGGAGTTCGAGAGCCTTGGCAGTGTGATACAGCCTATTTTTGGCTCAGGCGGTTTAGGATTTAGGGCTTAGGACATTGGCCGGGCGAGCTCCAATCAAGCCTGTGTAAAAAAGGGCTTAGGGTTAAATTTTATTGGAAGAAGAGGTATATTATAGCAGTATAATCGGAGCCCGAAGGAAGAGTATTAGTAAGTATTCAGGCTTCGGTGTTATGCTTAGGGGCTGGGTAGGTTTTGGGGGTTCGGGTTCCCAGCTCCTGAGCATGTATTTTTGGGGGCTTTGAGGGCTTAGGCTTTTCAGGATTTTGGGGGGTTTTGGGCCACGGCTTTGGGATCAGCACCCTAAACCCTGAATATTTCGTTGGGCAGTGATTGGGTGTCTTCTGGCACCGGCATGGAAGATAGGAGAAAACCCCGTGATAGAATCCCTAAACTTGTGAGCCCGCACAATCTTTTCCAGGATCCTGATGGTTTTACCAAGCCCTACATCAAGGGACTAAAGGAGGGACCCTTAAAGGGACCCTTGGGGTTATATAGAGGCGTTATGAGACCCTTTAAGGGGTATATGAGGGTTATATGTCCCTTCTAGGGGTCCCTCCTCTTGTCCCTTAACTAAACCCTGAACAGTCCAGAATCACCCGTTTTTAAGCCTCAACAGCTACACCGCTAAAACCCCCAGAATCCCCATAGAAGCCCCATGAATCGTAAGCCATGAACACCTCGTTTAAAGGAATTAGGCCGCAAAGCCATAGAATCCTTCTAGAAGCCCTAAACCCTAAACCCTGAATTTCTAAACCCTAAACCCTAAACCCTAAATCCTAAACCCTAAACCCTAAACCCTAGACATCTTAAACCCCCAAAGACAGCTCTTCAAGGACCATGGCACGCCGGGCGGAGGATGCCGGAGCTGTCGGTTTGGTCATCGTCGACAACGAGGCCGCTCCAGGGGTTCTTTTGGTAGGGTTTAGGGTTTAGGATTTAGGGTTTAGGGTTTAGGGTTGAGGGGTTGAGGGTTTGAGGGGTTGAGGGGTTCAGGTTTCAGGGTTTGGGGGTTTAGGGTTTAGGGTCCAGGGGTTCTTTGGTACTTTCTTGGTTTAGGGTGTACCTTAAGAACCCAAAACCCACCTTTTTGTAGGTTCTTGTTATAAACCCTAATATGGGATTTATAGAGGCCCTACAAAAAACTAGGTTTTGGGTTCTTAGGGTAGGGGTTTAGGGTTTAATTTAGGGTTCAGGGAATTAGGGTTTAGGGTTTAGGAGATCCTAGAGAGTTGTCTTGCGAGCTTTTCCTTACAGGGTTCCCTTAGGGGTCTTAACATGTTTCGCAGGGGTTTTTAAGGGTGATCTTGGAGGGCTTCTTAGCGTGTAAGGTGTTGCTTCTTCGGATGTTTATGGATGCCACAGTGAACATTTTATGGGCTAATGGGGGTTTTAAGCAATTTAAGCTTCAAGTTCGTGCGGCCCAATGCCATTAAGTTGTTGTTTTGAGTTCTAGGCCTTGTTTTAGCGTAAATTGCCTTCCTTGAACTGCTCTTGGCTTTTGGCGTTTGGTTGTTCAGGGCTCTGAAGGCCCCGGGTTTTGAAGCCCCCCCCCAATGATGACTTCAGCAAACTTACGCCCCAAAACCCTCAAAGACTAAACCCCCTGACGCCCTCAAAGGCCAAACCTCTAAGCGCCCTAATCTTCGGCTACAACACGCAGCCAGCCAGAAGCCAGCGAGCCGAAAGATCGAAGGAAGACCCCAACACACAGAGACAGAGCGAAGCGTAAGCCAAAGATCCTTCTTCTTACGTTCAAAGAAAGAACCTTCAATGCACCCCCGCTCCACAAAAAGTAAACCTCAAGCCTTACATCCGAAATCAAGCCCTAAACCGCAAAGATAAAACCCTACGCTCTAAACCCAACAACACCCTAAACCTTCAAGCGCAAAATCCTTAAACCCTGAGGCCCTAAAGCCCCAAAAACCCTAGAGACCTAAAGCGCCACCCCCCCTTCCGTCCCCCCCATCCCTAAAACAAAGACCCCCTACATAAAGACCCAAACCACAGCGCCGAGGATGAATGGGAGGATGATTTCGAGATGACCCTCGAGGCCCTCCTTCGGGGAGCTCCCGACTTTGTTAGGTGGATGTGCGGCTTTCGGGGCTTTAAGGGACTGGGAGTTTAGGGCCGTTGAGGTTTGGGTGTTTGGGGTTTGGGAAGTTTAAGAGTTTGAGGTTTCGGATTTGGGGTTTAGGGCTCTGAGAACCCTAACCCTAAACCCTCGTCAGCCTTGCCATGCCACAGGCCGTCCTTGAGATGTATATCTACGAGTTCCTAGAATACCTCCATAAACCCTTTGTATAAACGCCATGTAAAGCTCTCTAGTTGAGGGATCAGGGAACCTCGAAAGCAGACACAACAAGGCAGGGACACAGGTCAGACGACCCCAAGTAGGGCACTTACAGCTCCTGCTTCTAATTCGACGTGTAACCTACTTAGTAGGTCCCGTCATCTTTTCGGTACAATCTCTAGAACACCTTTTCCAGTACCTTTTACAAACTCTACAACCCCTAAAACCCTCTAGAAATCTGCAGAACCCCATGAGACCCTACCAAGCTGTACAGCCCTCTTAAACCCTAAACCCTAAACCCTAAACCTGAACCCTAAACCCTAAACCCTTTCCAGAGCCCACCAGGAGCGGCACCGGCCCCCTCCGGCTGTGCCAGCGGTGTTGGTGCCGAAATCGGCTCGGAGCCGCTTGCGAGAGGGTCTCAAGGCCCGGCCCGGGTGTGTGAAGTGCTCTTATTTTTTTTTGGTTTTGCTTTGAGTTTAGGGTTTAGGGTTTAGGGTTTAGGGTTTAGGGGTTTAGGGTTTAGGGTTTAGGAGTTTAGGTCTTTTATGACAGGTCTTTGGCTTTATGATTGCTCGTGCGGAGATTGTGGCTTCTCCCTTTAGCGCCTTCAGCCTTCCATCGTTTATCGCAGTCAGGATACCACCATGAGGGGGTTTCCGAATTTAGGGGACCCCAATATAATATAGTACCCCAAATGGTAGGATCCTTATTATCAGGAACCCAAGTACGCCTTATTTTCGGAAACTCCCATTTAGAAGGACGCTGCATTCGAACGTACCTCGGTCTTTGGCTCAGGTGCGCGTGGTCCGATGCTGGGCTCCGATCCTTTATTTGGGGGGTTGGTTCTGATTGGGTGCCCCTTTTCAGTAGGGTTTAGGGAGCTAAGTTGATAAATCCGATTTTTCTCCGTGATTTCGTAGGAGTCGGTTCTTTCAAGGACCCTGCAGTGGATCACTGTATAGAACCGGCTACTTTTCTTGCGAACAGACTTCGATGCCTCT